GAAGCTGGGGATCGGGTTGATCACGCCTGTGGTAGGTCACCTCTTGGGCGGTAGAGGGCAACATGAGATCAAAAGCATCGCGTAATCCGATACGTCCTGGAGCTAGAGCTCAAGCGGTCATCCGTGCACCTGGCCGTGCTGATACGTCTGCACGATCAGCCAGCGTGGGGTCCCAATCCATACCTTATCAATCGTTGTGGCGATCTGGCGTCCAGGGTGACGGTGCGTAGACTTGCACAGGATCATCTCCGTCGCCTCGGCAAGGGCTTGAGTCCATGCTCTGCCCCGCGGGAGAAGGGCGGCCCGCGGGCCGCCTCCAGGTACGAGAGGGTCCTCCACCTCCGAGTTCTCCCCGTCGTTGAAGTCGCCCGAGACAGTGACGAAGTGACGCTGCGGCGCCAGCGTCACTGCGTGGAGGTCCTGCTCGATGGCTCCCGCCACGACCGCCACCTGCTCCCTCGAGAGGTCGTGGTCGTGGATGTTCCAGTGCTTCATGGTGCGGCCCTCATGTGCGCCCGAGGTGATGGTGGCTTTGACACGCAGCGCCCTCCCCTCCCCGAATACGGACTGGGAGAAGGACAGGCCGCTGCGCTCCTTGAAAGGGAAGATAGTGGCGACGCCGCCACGAGACTCGTCGGCCCCGCCGCCGAACCTAGTGAACATCTGATACTCCAACCCCGTGCGATCGATCAGCATTCGCAAGCGCACCGCCGACCCGCGGACAGGAGGAGGTTGGGGAGGAGGAGGAGGAGGAGGAGGAGGAGGAGGAGGAGGAGGAAGAGGAGGTCGGGGATGAAGAGGAGGAGAGGATGAGGAGGAAGGTGAGGAGGAGGAGGAGACGAGGAGGGGCGGGATTAGAGGGAGGAGGAGGAGTAAGCGTCTTCTTATTCTTACTTCTCGTCTTCTCTTCCATCTTGGCCAGTATTCCTCTTTCCTTACTCTTCTTCTCTTCTTCTTATCTTCTTACTTCTACTTTTCTTCTTTTCTTCTCGTCCTTTTTCATCTGTCTCTTCGTGCTTGTTTGAGGTCCTCGTAGCGCCTGCTCTGTCTGGCTTCTATTGTCTCCGCATCACTATCCGGGCATTCTCGCGCGGAGAGGGCGGGGATCTTCACCTGCCCCCCCCCCCCCTCCTTGCCTCATCTCCATGACTTCTTCGCTCTCGCCAAGTTATCCTCTCTTTAACCTTCTTCCTCCTCCTCCTCCTCCTCCTCCACTCCTCCTCCTCATCCCTCCGCTCCTCCCCTCCTCCTCCTCCTCCTCTTCCTCCTCTCCTCCTCCTCCTCCTCCTCCTCTTTTCCTCCTCCTCCTCCTCCTCCTCCTCTTCCTTCCTCCTCCTCTTCCTCTTACCTCTGTGCGGTGCGCGTCGCACACGTCCCACGGCAGTCACGGGCACGGCTCCGCGACAGCGCGAGCCCTTCCGCCAAGACGCCGGCCACAGTGTGCAGGGCTCGGGAGGGGCTCTGGTCTTCGGACCGTGGCGCGTCGGGGCAGCCTGGTCGTGGCAGAGCCTGGCCGTGGCCCGCGAGCCCTCTCTTCGCTCCTGGTGGTAGCACGATGGCTGCACTGTCGTCTAGCTCGACACCGACGCGGCTGCAGGCCTTGCTGGAAGGCACTGTCCCAGCCAAAGGTCGGCCAAGAGGCTCTCCGGAGGCATCCAAGACGCCCTCAAAGGCCCCTGGGACTGCCAAGAGACCCCCAAGACACCCAAAAAGGACTCCGAGAAGCTCTCGGAAGAAATCCGAAGAGAATCCGAGAGGCATCTCAGAGGTTTCTGGCCTTTTCTGCCCACCCTCCTCCTCCTCCTCATCATCATCATCATCATCATCATCATCCTCTTCCTCCTCCTCCTCCTCCTCCTCCTCCTCCTCCTCCTGCTCCTCCTCGTCCTCCTCCTCCTCCTGTCGGCGGCGAGCCGAGGGGGGAGCGAGAGGGAGGAGGCCTTCCCGGAAGGCGACGAGGCTTCTCAGAAGCCCTCTGGCCCTCTGAAAGAAAAGCCCCCTTTGAGGCATCGGAGAAGGCGCAGAGAGCTTCACAAAAGGCCAGGGGCGCTCCTGGTCTTCTGAGAAGGCCCTCCCCCTCTGCCCTTCCCCCCCTGGCGCGCCGCCGAGTCTGCCAGAGGAGGGGGAGGGAAGCCTTTCTTGATTCGCCGACGGCTTAGCGCTAGGCGAGCCCGGTTGCAATCCAGCATGGGACGCTGTTGAACAGGCGCCCCAGAGAGGGGTGCCCAGTCACACACGGATCAGCACCGATCACACGAAACTACACGGAAGACGCGCACACCAGACTACGAGCCGCAAACGTAGGACAATTGCCCGTGCTGCCATACTGCGAAAATCTACCGCGGGTAAACTTCGAACACATCAGGCGTGCGGACGTATGGAGATGTACCCAACAAGAGGAGAGAAGAGATAGAGTGAGGAGAGATAAAGGGAGGGAGGAGGGAGTTCGAATAGGGAGAGCGGCCAAACCACTGCAGAGACATCTAAGCACTGCTATCACTTCTGAGCTGGCCCAAGCTGGCGGCATGGCTAGCGGCAGCCATGGCTCTGCTCTACAACCCTGGCCCTTTAGGCCTGCGCCTCATGCTCTCTCAACCTCTTCCTCCTCATCCTCCTCCTCATCATCATCAGCATCACCATCATCATCATTGTCATCATCATCATCATCAGCAGCAGCAGCAGCATCATCAGCATCATCAGCTGCGGCATCACAATCAGCATCAGCAGCAGCAGCAGCAGCAGCAACAACAACAACAACAGCAACGGCAACATCATCGACAACAACAATTGCAGCAGCAGCAGCAACAACAACGACGACAACAACAACGCGACAACAACAGCAACAGCCACAGCAACAGCAACGGAAAAAATAATGAACAAAACAAAAAAAAAAAAAAAAAAAAAAAAAAAAAAAAAAAAAAACGGCAACACAAACAGCAGCAGCAACAACAAAAACCATAGCAACAATAATAACAACAACAATATCAGCAACAACCACAACCATAGCAACAACGACAGCAGCAGCGACAACATTAAAAACGATACTATTAAGATTAACAGTCATGCGTGCCGTTCAACACGTATACACCAAACCCTCTGTACCCTCCCTCTTCGTCTTCGATCGTACCCCCCTGGGGGTAGAGCTTCCTTACCTGCCGCGTGCAATTGGTGCAGGCCCTGACACAGGGAAAGAGAAGACGGATGGAAGGGGGAAGGAGAAGGATGGAACACGGGATTGACACGAGGGGGGCCTGGAGCAGAAAACACGTGGCAGAACCAGACGAGCCCATCGGGCGGGTAGACCCTAGCGGGCGGGTCGGGAAGGAAGGCGGGCCCAAGCGGCCAGGTCGAGAAGGCGTGCTGCTGAAGGGGGAGTACTGCTCGAGTGATAGCGCGATTCCCACATAAATCGTGAGAAAGGCCAAAGCGAGAACGTGCTTCCTGAGTGTCGAGGGCGCGGCGTCCGACTGAAGTGCGAGGAAATCCCACGCAGGAGCGCGACTCCTGCATAACTTGTGAGGAGGTCCCGCGCGAGAGCGCGATTTGGGAATACATTATGAGGAAGTATCAGGCGGGAGCCGTTGTTGTCGTAGCTCGGGGCCCAACAACCCAGTTTGGTGGCACAAGCGTTCCTTGATATATTGAAAAAGTTTACGAGCCCCGAGGGGTGGGGGGGGCACTTCAACTGTCAAAGACAATGGTTACCAGAGGGGGGGGAAATGATCCTTTGGAACTGAAAACTCAACCACAACAGCAACACTCTGTGTACAACTGTTTGCTCTTATCTGCTCGCGTGCCACTCGACACGCATATCCCAAACCCTCGGTACCTGCCCCCTTCGTACCCCCTTAGGGGTATATCTCTCTTACTTGCAACGTGTCTTTCGTGCAGCCCTCAAGGCAGGGGAAGAGACGACGGATGGAAAGAAGGGACAAGGGGGAGGGGAAGGATGGAGAACGAGAGAGAGTAGCAAGAGGGGGGCTAGGAGCGGAAAATACGTCGCAGAACCAGACAGGCAGATCGGGCGGGTAGACCCTAACGGGCGGGTCGGGAAGGTGGGCACAGGCGGCCAGGTCGAGCAGGCGGGTTGCTGAAGCGTGCGCCCTGCATGAATCGCGAGAGGAGAGCTCAGGTGATAGCGCGATTCCTGAATATATCGTGAAACAAGGCCACAGCGAGAGCGTGATTCCTGAGTGTCGAGGGCGCGGCGTCCGAATAACTTGCGAGGAAGTCCTACGCGAGAGCGAAATTCCTGTACGTATAAACTGTGAGGAGGTCCCGGGCGAGAGCGCGATTTGGGAATACACTGTGAGAACCTATCAGGCGGGAGCCGTTGTTGTTGTGAACCTGGGGCCAGGGGCACACCTCACTTTCCCTTGTAAAGAACATAGTGCGAGCTCCGAGAGAAGCACTTGAATTGAAAAATGGAATGGTTCACTGGAGGAGGAGGATCAACAAGAACTATTCTTCAGAAATCACTCAACAACAACAACAACAACAACAACAACAACAACAACAACAAAAGAACCGGAACGATAACAACAAGCACAACAACAACGCAATAACATCAAAATAGCAAAAACAACCCAACAACAACAACAACAACAACAACAACAACAACAACAACCATAACAGCAACAAAAACAAAAACAGCAGCAGCAACAACCACAGCAACAGCAGCAACAACAACAGCAACAACAATCGCAACAACTACAACAACAGCACGAGCAACAGCAACAGCAACAGCAACCGCAACAGCAACAACAACAACAGCATCGTCGCCATCGTCATCATAATCACCACCTCCGCCAGCAGCATCGCCGTCATCATCGTCGTCACCATGGTCATCATGGACATCATCATCATCATCAACAGCAGCAGCACCATCATCATTGCCACTACCAACAAACTCATGATCACCATCGTCTACAATCACCATATATCATCACCATCCTCATCATCATCCTCATCATCATCATCGTCATCATCATCATAATCATCATCATCGTCCCTCATCCCGCGGCACTCAGAGGCACACCTCACTGAGTGGACTTCACGGCACCAAGAGTGAAGGATCAAGCGAAGGCGTGCGGCACCAAAGGGGCAAAGGTGCACCGCAGGCAGGGCCCCGTCCGTGCATGATTTCCTGGCCACGGCCACATCTGATCCGTGCCCTGCCCTCTTCCAGCGCCTTTGGTCGCTGTTTTCTCCTGAGATCACTTGGCGCATGAACGGGGAGCTTCAGGGAGCGTGCACAGGTCCACAAAGTACCTCCAGGGCGGCTAAAACCACACGGGTATTGGTATTCGCGCCCCTTGGGGGACGGGAGAGGGGTAGGCCGAATCCTGCTACCGCCAGTTCGTGTCGTGTCGACCCCAGCGTTGCTTCCTGACACGGCGGGGATTTTTCAACCTTGAACGATTGCCCGTTTGCGAAACGTCGGCTCGTTCCACATCAACCGTTTCTGGGTCGCCGGCGGCGTTCGACGTTGAGCGCCAGCGGCGGGGTCGCCGCCAGTCGACACGACGCGGATCTGCCGTACCCCTGCAGTTTACTGCCCTGATACCTGACAGCCTCCGTGGCCTGCGCCAGGGTGACCTTGCCCCTCATGTCGGCGGGCTCCACAAGGCGGCGCACCGCTCTCTCCTTGCCGGTCTCGGGATTCACCTGCAAGCTCCTGCGCAGGTCAACCTCGTACCTCTGGGGCCTCGGCCCGACCTGCACCTGCACCTGCACCGCCTCCTGCCCCCGCTGGAAGGCATGCTCGATCGCAGCAGCGGTGGACTCCCCGTACGGCGTCCACTCGTCCCCGGCCCCCATCTGCGCCGCCCACTGCGGACCATAAACTCCACTGGTGCACCGGATCTTGTGCTCCGTGCCTGTCTTCGGATTCCGCTGACACCCCTTCTGCAGGTCGATCTGGTACATCCGTGCGTGCGAGCCCGACCGCACCTGCACCTGAAGCGACGGCTGCCTGCGTGCTGCAGCAGCACTAATTGCCGCGTTGACGCTGGCGTCGTAGGGAATCCACTTGCCCCCGCTGCGGGAGTGCACCTCCCACTTGACCTGGACCGGGTCCGCCACGACGCCCTTGGACCGCAGCGCCGCTGCGAACGTCACGTCGTTGAAGGTGCGCTCGAAATCGGCGGCGTGCTCTGGCCGCAGCCGAGCGTCCTTGGCCTGCTCGTAGCTGAGGCCTTTCGCAAGGGCCCATTCGTACGTGCGCTCCCCCATGAAGACCCGCAGATGCTCGCCGACTATGTCCGTGGGTGTAGCCGACGCGGCAAGAGGGCGAAGAGATACGTCCTGGAAAGCGTTTTCTCGTGGCCACAACGGGCGCTAAGGGGCGGAGGGGGGGGGAGGGGCAACGTAACGTCCCCCCCCCCGCAGTGTGCCCCCGGCACCACCGCTCCGCTCGCGCGCACCTCAGCCTTGCAGCAAGGCTCGGTCGCAGCGCCTGTGCGCACCACAATTTGCCCGCGAGTGCCACGCGCGATTGACACCACTGGACGGCAAGCAGAGGCCAAGACAGACCATGCCAGAACCGCAGCAGCCTTGCAAGACTTCCGGGCCCAGGGGGGACGGGCGGCGGCGGCGGCGCCGGCCACAGCAGGCGCCCGTCCGCAGCTGGCGCGAGCGCCGCCGACGTCGACGAGCACCACAACGGCAGCCTGCGAGCACCACTGCGTGCCCGTGAGCACCGCACTGTGCTCGCGACCGCCCGGCGGCGGGCAGCCGGACCCTGCCAGTACGAAAACAATGTGCGAGCGCCACGTGCGTATGCGCAGCAGCATGCGGGGCCCTGCAAAGACCGCAACAGCCTGCGAGCACCGCAGCATGTCTGCGAGCTCGGGCAGCAAACCGGAGACCACTACAGTAGCCTGCGAGCAAAGTAGCCCCCGAGAACCACTACAGCCTACGAGCGCCACGGCAGCCTGCGAGCTCAACGCAGGCGCTACGACCGCATCTGACTACGATGCTGCGATGCACGAGTGCGCTGCGGCAGTGCGGGGCGGCGCACTGAAGGGGGGGGCAAGGGGGGGCACGCGTTGGGCGGAGGGGGCGTTACGTTATCGGATTGGAAAGGGGGGGAAGGGGCCATAACGCGAGCTATGGCCCAGGCCATGAAAAAGCTCTCCTCCCAGGGCGCCGCCGAGGGGGAAGCGGCGCTCTCGTGCTTCTCCAGGTAGTCGAGCAGCCTCGACACCCTCCCCTCTAGGCACGGATCTGCCTCTCTGTCGAATGCGACCTTGAAGAACTCGAGAGCCCCTCCTCTGGTCGTCCTAGAGACCTGAAAGGCCCGCACCAAGCTGGGACCCGCCGAGCGCAAGACCCCATTGGCGCCAGGCCGGTCGCCGTGCATGGTCATGCCGCAAAAGCGTTCCAGCTGCTGTGTGCCTGGGTTGGTAGCGTGTCCCTGGCCGTTGTTCTTCGCCGCTATCTCATCGACGTGCTGATGCAGCCTCGCGAAGCCCACCACCTGCAGGAAGATGTACTCGTAGTTGGTGAAACGGGCCTTCAAGTCCTCTGCTGTCGCTTTGCCGCGGATCTGGGGGTATCCATCGAAGTTCCTCACGCCGCCCAGCTGGGCCTGGTGCCTCGCCAGCTCCCGCAGGATCTCGAGGAAGAACGGCGGCAAGCCCAGGTACTCAGTCGGTAGCCCTTCCGAGCCGCCGGGCTGCCGCGGTGGAATGCCAAGCGGAAGTGGCATTCGCAAGTCGCCCTCGCGCGTGCCACTGGAAGGAATGGCTATGGGAAGGATGGGATATGGGGAGAACTCACCAAGCGGCAAGGGTGCAAATGGCACAGGAGGAGGGGGGAGTACGAAGTGAGACTCTGCAAGGTTTGCTTTGCAGCGTCCACCCGCCGACAAAGACGAATGGCTGAAGAAAGGAGGGCCACCCTGGAGGACCCACAGGCATGCGAGAAAAGGAATTGGCTGTCAGGGTGAATATGCTGTGTCGTTGCGTCGCGGTGTCTCATTCTAGAACTGCTTTTGAGCTCGCTGGTTCAACAGGCCAGATGCGTGTTCGATCTCGCCAACACGGTGACGGAAAGAACCTCTCCTTGGCTAGAGGGCGTCATCGCTTGCGTGTCTAACCAGTCTCGAATTTATCCTTGTCCCTAAGATTAACAAGCCCAAATGCAATGACAAATTAGGAATGCGACGCCAGAAACTGAAGAAATCCTTAAGATCGGCGTCGAGACAAGGTTGTGCCTGGCATCAGGACAGGGATATGTTTCAGGCTGGTGTCAACTTTGGAGGCCCTCTAGCGACCCTTTTGGGCACCCTAAGAGCACTCGGCATCTTGAGATCCATTAGGGCCTCGTGAGGCCCTTTTGCAACGTCTGGCGGCTGCTCGGAAGGGGTCCGGGGGTCATCCTCGGGAGGTCGTGGGCCGTCTCCGAGCCACCTTGGGCCGGTCTCTGGCACGGATTATGGGGCTTTTTGGGACCCTTCCCGAATCTCCTGGGGCCTCTTGGAGCCATCCTGATCTGAAACGTGGAGATTGCCAGACGCTGTTGACGATGTTCGAATCTAGGGAGCCCAGCCCAGAACAATGCATGTCTTGTCTGCCAGCACGTTGCCAGCACACGCCTGGACGGCGCCGATTTGTGCCGACCTTCAAACTCGTGGGGCTGGGTATGCCGTGGCCCGGTGGGGATGGGGTTCGGCTGGACGATGCTGTCTTTCAGCACACACCCTGGAGAAGAGAAAGAGAAGCTGGCGGAGCGATCGGCTGACATGGCAAGACACAGGTCACGCCACCGGGCGTCCACACTAGCGTCAGCGAAATGCAGCGAGCCGGCACGCCTAGAGGTACTTCCACCTCATTTCCCTTGAACTTGTTGACGTTCACCGGGCATAAGCTGCACAGCTGCTGCGCTCACGTAGAAGAAAGGAGGCAAAGAACCGACTCAAGCGCGGTGGCAAACAGATTAGACCTGGTAAGCGTAGCAGATATATGATTATATTAGGAGACGCTTTACAACAAAACACCACCCAAAAAAAAAAAAAAAAAAAAAAAAAAAAAAATGAGCCCGCAGGGGCACAGAGAATATGCTCACCAGGTGCTACCTGGTGGGCACATTCGTAAAGAATACGCTCACCAGGTGACCGTGGAGGGGCGATGGAGGTGAAGAAAATCTGCAGATACCACATACAGGGATGACAATCGACATGACCGAAGGATCTCCCTTCTCCGCTCGCCCACACGCAAGAGGTGGCCCCAGGACAAGAGCGACCTCCGGTGTGCGCGCCTCCGGGGGCCCTCGGGAAAGCAGGCCCGAGCTCGCAGGCCAGCGCGGGAGGGGCCCCCTGCGGGCACGCCCTCTGCAGACGTCGCTCGGAAGAAGCAGGCACAAACAGGAAGTAGGAAGGCGGATCAAGCAGATTGGGCTCAAGCCCTCCCAGAGAACACAACCACAAGCAGCAGAAGCGCATCGGCTCTTGAGGCAGGAGGGCGCTTGAAGCAGATCGGGACCTGGGAATCCAAAGACACCTGCCTTCAACGACCCGCTTCTTGAGGTCCCTCAGCCCTTGGGGCGGATGGGGAGGATGAAGAAGGCGGAGGAGGAGGAGGAGGGGGAGGAGGAGGAGGAGGAAGAGGATGAGGGAGGATGTATGGAGGAGAAGGAGGAGGAGGATGATGAGTAGGAGAGGAGGGGATGTGGTGGCGTAGTAGAGGAGTAGTGGAGGTAGGTGGGGAGCAGCGGAGCAGCAAGGCGGAGTCCCCTGCTGGGCGAAGGCCCGCTCCTGCGCTGCATCCTTCCCCTCCGCCCCCTCTCCTCCGCACCGCTCCTCCCGCCCCTAATACGGAGGCGCCCCCATCCCTGCGGAGGCGGGGGGGCGGCACAGGCGGCCGGCGCGCGCGTGGCACGTCCGAGCCGCGGGCGTAGAGTTTGGAACGAGGGGCGATTCCAGCCCCCCATCCGAGCGGGCGGGCGCGCACACTCCCCCCAGGGATTTCGGAATATCACGGGCGTCCCTCGTCAGTGCCGTCTTGTTGTGTTTCTCTCTCCCGCCGCAAATTATCAAGGGAGCCCTCCGCCTTACACCCCATCCTCTTTCTCCCCCGTCCCCGGCTTTGTTTGGGTGTCCCTCTGCCGCCCGCCTCTGTGCTGCGAAAGACGAGGTCCGAAGCGAAGAGGCCACGGCGTGAGTCGCCAAAAGCACCGTTGCGAGGTCGAGAAGAAACCTCCCATCGAGGGGGGGAGGGGGGAGGGGGGAGAAGAGAGGGAGAAGGGGGGGTTGGGGTAGTTCGGAAAAAATGGGGCCGAGGGGGCGAACCTGCAGAGAGACGGGCTGGAAGCTTCGTATAAGAGGAGCCCGGGATCAAAGGGGCGAGCCCGGTCCCGAGCGCGAGCACTGTGGCAGGGAGGGAGGGGCTGGATGCTCATTCTGGGGACCTTCCTGGAGACACTCGCTCCACTCGTGCGTCGAAGCTGCGTCGAACGTCCGTCGATTTGAGCCGACCCCTGAGTCGAACCTGAGTCGAACCTGAGTCGAACCTGAGTCGAACCTGAGTCGAACCTGGGTCGAATCTGAGCTGAACTCGAGTCGAACTCGAGTCGAACTTGAGCCGAACCCGGGTCGAACTAGAGTCGAACAGAGCCGTTCGGTGGGCCTCAGGAAGGCCCCCAAAGCGAGCATCGAAGGGGGGGATCAGGAGGCAGGCGGCCCCACCTCTTCACTGGCGGGGGCATGGCGCCGTGGACAACACTTCCGCTGCCCCCCCCCCGCCCCGCGCCGGCGCCCGTCTCCGCCGCGGGGCCCGCGAGGGGAAGGGGGGAAGGGGGGAAGGGGGGGGCCCCAGCAAGGGCGAAAGCCTTGAAGCTAAACAGTTGGTCCAAAACGTTGGAGGCATGGGTCCCACGCGCTCGTCGAGGGCCTCTGGGGCTCTGCAAGCGGCCTCAGGGAGCCTCCTGAGGCCCAGGGGCAGCCAGAAGCCCTTACAAGGAGGGGCCACTCCTGTGCAGCGGTAGAGCTCCCAGGCTGCAGTCAACCCGTGTAAAGATGCGAGGGCCGTGGAAGGCCATTTCGCCACTTTGCGAGCGGGGCGCGGCCAGCGAAAGCGGCCAAGGATGGGCCGGAGGGGAAGGCTGCACGGGTAGCCTTGGAAAGTCGCTCACCCTTACTGTGCGGGTTGGCTGTAGGTGCGCTCGCGCCACATCTGACACCCTACCCCGCCCTCGCATCCTTTCCCATTGCGCTGCTCCTTCCTCTGTCCGCGGGCACGTGTCACAACGGACCTGGGACTCCAAAAAAAAAGACCCCGTCGTGTTGCGCACCCTCGGGAAAGGGGGGCTGCGCACGAGGGAAGACGGAGGAGGGAGGCGGGAGGGAAGGAGGGGAGGGGGGAGGGCAAGCTAGGTGCGCTCGCGTCATATCTGACGTCCTACCCCTCCCTCCCATCCCTTACCATGGCGCTGATTTTCTCTATCCGCGGACGCGTGTCGTAGCGGACCTGTGGCTCCGCTCGCGCGTGCGTAACTAGTGGGTGGTGGTGCGCGTGCGTGCGTGCGTGCGTGTGTGCGTGGTTGTGGTGGTGGTGGTGGTGGTGGTGGTGGTGGTGGTGGTTGTGGTGGGGTTGGTGGTGTGGTGGTTGTGGTGTGTGGTGGTGGTGGTGTGCTGTTGCTGGTGCTGGTGCTGGTGCATGGTGCTGGTGCTGGTGCTGGTGCTTGGTGCTGGTGCTGGTGTTGTGCTGGTGCTGGTGCTGGTGCTGGTGCTTGGTCTGTGCTGGTGCTGGTGCTGGTGCTGGTGCTGTGGTGGGGGTGGTGGTTGTGGTGGTGGTGGTTTGGTGGTGGTGGTGGTGTGGTGGTGGTGGTGGTGGTGGTGGTGGCGGTGGTGGTGGTGGTGGTGGTGGTGGTGGTGGTGGTGCGGCGCGGTGGTGGCGGGCGGATGGGCGCGCGAGAAAGAGGCCCGCGCTGGGGCGAGAACGCCATCCTCAACGACGGAGGCCAAACACCGATCCGAAAATGAGGCCCACGCTGGAGCGGGAGCACGATTCGGAACGATTCGGGAGCAGAAATGAGGCCGGCGCCTCAGCGAGAGCAGCATTTTAGAAAAAAAACACAAGCGAAAACCCAACTCCGGGGAATCCTGTGTGTAAAAAAACAGTACGCGGGGGGGTGCCGAATATCTTCCGGACGCCATCAGGGGAAGTGGGAGAGTATTTTCATATTGTGTAATTGTAGAGGGGGGGCGGGAGAGAGAGAGAGAGAGAGAGAGAGAACGACGAGGGAGGAGGGAGGAGGGGAGGAAAGAGGGTGGCGGAAGAGGATAGGTATGAAAAAGAGGCTGGAGAAGAGACGGGCCGACGACGAGGGCGAGGAACGAGGGCGAGGATGGGGAGCAGGAGGAGCAGCAGGGAGGAGAAGGGGCGCGGAGGAGGAGGGCCGAGGCCCGCCGAAGGCCTGCCGGCGGCTGACGGCGGACGCGTGGCCGAGCCCGCAGCTCCTGGCCAGCCCCGAGGAGCCCGAGACACGATGATCAACGTTTAGAAAACCAATGCTTTTTTTTTGCCCTCTGAGGCCCAGGGATCTTGAGGCGTTCTTGGGACGCCTCGAAGGCCTCGTGGGCCGTCTTGAGGCCATCTTGGCTCGCCTTGAGGCTGCTCCAGATGTCGTAGTAAAAGGGAGGGGGTCTGGACCCTCCAAGACGAGCCATTTCAGACCTCCCCCGTGGGAGAACCCTCCAAAACATCGTCCCCAGACCCCCCCAGGCCCTCCAAGATAGCCTGGAAGAGAC